CGGCCAGTCGATGAATTGCAGTTTTAGTCACTTCCGTGTTGGTTTCACGAGAGAGACCGGAAGGTTGCCGTTTGGTTTCCACCGGGCGCCGTCATTTTGATTTCGCAAGCGACAATGGTGTATTAGTTCTAATGCCATGGCGAAAGTTTGAGCAAAACATACTAACCGTTCTGTCTTTGGCTGCACAGACAAGCACAGAACACTATTTAGAGTCCCAGCCTCAGAGAAGACAACAGATTGATTTATTTACTGTATATTGCTGCTGCCACACAGAACTAAAATAAACATGCATTTATTTCCCAGCTGTTTACCTTCACAGACATAACCGACTGTTTTCGTAACTCATGTGTGTTTTTAACGTAAACTTGTGTGTGAATGAGAACTTAGTTTAGGACTCACATGCTGTGACAGCCGCTTTCTGTCTGTGTGCTTCGGATGTGTGCTCTCAGAAAACCGTATATGTTTAAACTCATATGGTTTAAAACACATGATTTCACTCAGTCAGTAAAAACTAAAAAAGTGCCATAAAATACAATGCAAATAAAATAAAAAATGCTCTTACTCAAATTCACAGAGAGGACGTTTTTTTTCAATGGCATCATGGGAGATGGCCATCACCGCCATACCCAAACACTCATTTTCTATCTGCTGGACGTCATTCTCATCACATGCACTACGCAGCGGTGCCAGACCGCTCTGAAAGTCACACTGACTCTGCAAAACACAAAAACACACAACAAAATCAGCAGCCACAACTTTCTTGAACTGCATGTCCTTTAAAAGCAGGGCAATGTTTTTGTCACCGTACCTGTGCGTAGAGGTACGTTAGTGAAGCTACATCCAGAAGAGCTGTGCCCGCAGACCCCGTTTCTCGCTTGAGAGTGTGTCTGAACACTGGAAGAGATTTCCTACTGCTCCCATGCCAGTTTGTGAAATAGAATCTGCCCCACGAATGAGATTATAACATAAATATGTAACATCTTTTAAAGGGGTCATATGATGTTGCTGAAAAGAACATTATTTTGTGTATTTAGTGTAATGAAATGTGTTTATGCGGTTTAAGGTTCAAAAAACACATTATTTTCCACATACTGTACATTATTGTTTCTCCTCTATGCCCCGCCTTTCTGAAACGCGTCGATTTTTACAAAGCTCATCGGTCTGAAAAGTGAGGTGTGCTCTGATTGGCCAGCTATCCAGTGTGTTATGATTGGCCGAACAGATTGGTCAGAACAGCCGGCATTGTAGTCTACTCTACCAGGATCAGGAAACGGTCCTCCATAAAATATGCTGCACACATCTGAATATTTGGGTTGAAGTGTTCTGGAACAGTATTGTAAATACAACTTAACCACTGATTTCTAGTCGTGTCCATTTTTGGAAGGCCAAACAAAGTAGTTTCGCTTTCACAACGAAACACACAGCGAGACAGGCCGGAAAACAGCGTGTTTCTGCTTCCACTCAAAATAGGCAATTTTAAAATGATATAATAAATGATCTGTGGAGTATTTTGAGCTGAAACTTCACAGACACATTCTGGGGACACCAGAG